CGCTTCCTCTCTCCCTCTCCGCTTTTCTCTCTGTCTCTCTCTCTCAATACAGGCAGACCTCATTTTATTGTATTTCATTTCATTGTGCTGTGGAGATATTATTTTTTACAAATTGAAAAATCTGTGGTGACCCTGTGTTGAGCAAGTCTGTGGCACTACTTTTCCAACAGTATTTGCTCACTTTGTGTCTCTGTATCACATTTTAGTAATTCTCACACTTCTGACTTTTTCATTATTAATATATTTGTTGTGGTGCTTTGTGATCAGTGATCTCTAATGTTACTATTGTCATTGTTTTGAGATACTATATTTGAGATACTATATTTGTTTGCCTATATAAGACAGCAAACAAATCAGCTGTTTCCTTTTCTCTCTTCCTCTCCTTGGCCTCCGTATTTCCTGAGACATAACAATATTGAAATTAGGCCAATTTCTAATCCTACAATGTCTTGTAAGCATTCAAGTGAAAGGAAGAGTGACATGTCTCTCACTTGAAATCAAAGCTATATAATTAAGCTTAGTGAAGAAAGCATGTCAAAAGCCACGCTAGGCCAAAATCTAGACTTCCTGTACTAAGTAATTAGCCAAATTGTGAATGCAAAGGAAAGTTCATGAAGGGGTTAGAAGTGCTGCTCCAGTGAACACACAAATGATAAGAAAGTAAAAAGTCTTCTTGCACAGATGGGGAAAATTTTAGGAGTATGGATGGAGATCAAACCAGCCGCAACATTCTCTTAAACTATAGCCTAATCCAGAGCAAGTGCTAACTTTCCTCAATTCTATGAAGGCTGAGAGAGGTGACAAAGCTGCAGAAGAGAAGTTTGAAGCTATCAGAGGTTGGTTCATGAGGATTCAGGAAAGAAACTGTTTCTATAACATAAAATTGCAAGGTGAAGCAGCAAGTGCTGATGTAGAAGCTGCAACAAGTTATCAGAAGATCGAGCTAAGATAGTGAATAAAAGAGGTTACACTAAACAACAGATTTTTGATGTGGATGAAACAGTCTTCTATTGAAAGACGATGACATCTAGGATTTTCATAGCTAGAGAGGAGATGTCAAGGCCTGGCTTCAAAGCTTCAAAGGACAGACTGACTCTCTTGTTAGGGTCTAATGCAACTGGTGACTTTTAGCTGAAGCCAATGTTCATTTACCGTTTTGAAAACCTAGCACTCTTAAGAATTATGATAAATCTACTCTGCCTGGGCTCCATAAATGAAACAACAAAGCCCAGATGGCAGCACCTCTGTTTACAACTTAAGCCCACTGTTGAGATTTACTGCTCAGAAAAAAGATTCCTTTCAAAATGTTACTGCTCATTAACAATGTACTTGGACACCTAAGAGCTCTCATGGAGATGTCCAGTGAGATTCAGGATTCATGTTGTTTTCATGCCTACTAACTCAATATCCATTTTGCAGCCCAGGCATCAAGGAGTGATTTCTACTTTGAAGTCTTACTATTCAAGAAAAATATTTTGTAAGGCTATAGCTGCCATAAATAGTGATTCCTCTGATGGATCTGGACAAAGTTAATTGAAACCCTTCTGGAAAGGATTCACCATTATAGATGTCATTAAGAACATTCATGATTAGTGGTAAGAGGTCAAAGGCTGAAGCGAAGCCTGAAGATGTGACTGGACTGCTGTGATCTCATTATAAAATTTTAACAGACGAGGAGTTCATTCTTATGGATGAGCATAGAAAGTGGTTTCTTGAAATGGAATCAGTTCCTAGTGAAGATACTGTGAAGACTGTGGAAATGACAAAAGAGGAATTAAAATATTATATAAGCCTAATTGATAAAGCAGCTGCAAGATTTGAGACGACTGACTCCAATTTTGAAAGAAGTTCTATTGTGGGTAAATTACTATCAAACGGCATTGCATGCTAGAGAGAAATTGTTTGCAAAAGGAAGAGTCAACTGAAGCAACAAACTTTATTGTTGTCTTATTTTAAGAAATTGCCACAGCTGCCTCAGTCTTCAGCAATTACCACCCTGATCAGTCAGTTGCCATCAACATTGAGGTAAAATGAGGCTTCACCAGAAAAAAGGATTAGGACTCCCTGACGGCTCAGATGATGATTAGTATTTTTTACCAATAAAGTGTTTTTGATTAAGGTATGTACATTTTTAGACATAATGCTATAGCACACTTAATTGATTACATTCTCGTGTAAAATAACTTTTATATGCACTGAGAAACAAGAAATCATGTGACTGACTTTATTGCAATATTTGCTTTACTGTGGTGGTCTGAAATCAAACCCACAATATCTGTGAGATATGCTTGTATTCCATTAAAACAGTGCTCCTTAAAAACTGGAATAATTTTGTCAAGTAGGCTTTTTTTTTTTCTGTAGCAGTCATAGACGTCATCATTGCTTCTTTATCCTTAACTAATTATTTATTCACAGGTAAGAAATAGTGATGTATAAACACGGATGTCTACGGGACTCTCACAGTGTATTGAACACAGTTAACTCACAGGCATCAAAGTGGCCATGACCACATATCACAGTTCTCTTTGTCAAGGGAATATTATAGTGGAATTTAAAATCTGAATGCACCTCACTTCTACATAAATTACTAGCATATTGTATAGTCTCCCTGTCAATAATGCAAATTAGAAACAGATCTCATTTTCCCACACCCTGTCAGTAGCAGGCACATTATTACTATTGACACATCACTACTTTCATGGCATAATGAGTTGTGATGATTGAGAAAAGTTCTAAAAGAAGATGAAAGTGTGTATCTACCCAAGGAGCTCCTTTTATTAAAAAAAAAGACTAGAACAGCATTACTGTTTCACTTTAGTTTCACAGCAAGAAAAAGACTACTGCAAAGTGCTTCATCCCACGTAGAAGAAAAGAATTCCATCTTGTTTATGGGTATGTGAGAAATAGCTTAATTTTCCTTATCTGTGCTTCACTGGGATGAACAGAAAACCTATCATGAATAATAAACACAGTAAAATATGCAACACAATTTGTCATGTTCTCTTTTATGTCTCAGTTCTTTAGTTCATCCATTCCTTGAAGTGATCTATAATATTCTCCCAAGCCAGGTTTGATTGTATAAATGCATACGTATGTTTTAAAATTTAGGATGGGCATTAAATCCCCTAGGAAGCCTTCCCTGACACCATGGTTCTACAGTAATGCTCTCTGCATGTCTTACGTACTTATACTCGCTTTAGTGTGTTATAAATCTAACTGTCTCACTAAGCAGGCTGAATTCATTGGGGTTATAAACATAACATTATTTAATTTTTTCTAATACTTCTAATTGTGCTTTACGGAACCCTTCTTTCTCTGACTTGTACACTCCGTTTATGAAATCATGTTCCCATTCTGATTTCATAACAGTTTACTCAAAGAGTCAAGTCTCCCCCCTCAACATACACACGCCCAGAAAATGAAATACTATTCTCCCCTTCTTAAAGGGCTCCCTAAACTTTGCAGGTGATTCACCGGGGACTCCCCTTCTTACCTTCCTTACCCTCAATAACCGGTTGAGCCACTGACCCTCATTGACAGGGAGACGAAAAAGGCACGAGGATGGCCTTGCTCCCACGATGAGAGAGCTACACACATGGGAGCGCAGGCTCCCTTTGTAACCACGCGCTTCTGCAAGGGCAGACCTCCGAATGGACCCACCACTCTCGTCCTTGTGCGCCTAAGGGCTCCATGTCTACAACGAGGACTTTTTTGAATTTAGTCCTGTATAATTCAAACGAAGACCATCTCCACTCTAATTCTCTGCACTATTAAACAAACAGCAAAAGCAAACTGAAAACAAAAACCTTAGGGACATGCAGATTTCAATCACAACTCATACACTATTTACCTATTATAAAATTATATCCCTCATTATCCTGATACCCTCCCTAGAGTGTAAGCCTAGTGAAATTAAGGCCTGTTGCTTTTTCATCTTTGTATCTCTAGGTAACTTGCAATACTTCAGATTATAGTAAATGCTTCTTAATAAATGACTAAATGAACTTAATTCTCTGTTGAATTAACATTCTCATGAGGTATGTTTCAATATTAACTTAACGTGGAGATGTCACCGTCTACTACACAAGGTATTACACTAAATGATTTACACTTTCTTGAGACCTCAAACTACTCTGCAGTGAAGTTATGATTATCATTAATTTATTACCTAACTGATGCTCACAAAAAAAATGTCTCCCAAGGTTTCACCTTTAGAAACAGAGTCAGTATTCACATTGAGCTCATTTGTTTCCTCAGTTTATACCATGTCTACTATAATATAAAGCCTTCAATGAAGAGCCTGGATGAAATTTGTTTTCAGTAAACTGTCCATTGCCATGATATATGCATATGCACACACATACATATGTACACATAAACATGTAATTATATTTCACATATATTATGCTCATGATATACATACATATATATAATATACACATGATAAACATACAGTGATATCATGTCTATATAATTGTGATGTTATATATATATACATATAAATATATAAATTATATTTTATATTTCCTCTGTTTTATTTTCTTACATGAGGATGTTGAAGCAATGAATAAAATTGTCTGAAAATGACCCTAGGAACTCACTCTGGGTTGCCTAGACGTTGAGCTACCAGGGAGCCCTCTCCTTCTCTCAGTGAAAGATGATGTACTAAGACTCAAGCTTCTTAAGGACTGGACTGTTCTACTGTCAGGGATGACCACCACATCCTTTGGATCCATATATGCCTGAAGGTTAGGCAACTGATGTTCCCATTAGTCTCTTGTAAACAACTGGCAGCAAATATCAAGGCTTTCTGGCACCTTGTTTATTCTTCCAATGGCAAGGTTGATGTCTTATGCTTTCTACCGTAAGATGAGAGAAACGTATGGGAAGTATGGTCTCTTTACCAAAATGGAAGCCATGCCTCACTTAATAGATGCCCTGGTATGTGTCACCATGGGATGGTGGGAAGCTGGGGATGTGTGCATCTCCATCCTGCTTACCTTGACCTCCAGAGAATCTCCTTTCCAAGATAGCACCTATAGCTGAACTCTTTATATGATACTACAGATGTCATCTTGAACCCTGGTGTGTGATCTGGTGAACAACAGAGAAATGATTTCAACAGAAAAGCTATTTCAAACAATAGAGAAACAACTGCAAATGCAGATTTAAACAAGATTTTAACATGACAAAACAAACACAATGGTCTTATCTTCCTTTATTTTTTAAAAATTAATTTTGCCTTTCAAAGACAGACAGGCCTTCCTAAAGGTTTTCCATCATTCTTGAAAAGACTAAAATCATAAAGAGAAAGAGCAGGAGGGGGGACAAAAGAGGAGAGAAATAACTGAAACAACTACTGGAGTTCCAATAAACATGGTTCACTACTGTTGTCAGTGAGAAGTCAATGGCCATTAACATCACCATTCCAGAAGAAAAATTACCTCCACTTTATCTATCAAATCAATATCTACACAGAAGAGGGAAAGTATCATAGATTGTAATCAGCAAGCAGCTCAATAAATTGTCTGAGGTTCCTAAGCCACATTAATCAGATCCTGGTTTTAACTGATATTAATGCAACATTTTCCCAAATTGTACTGAATATTCACTTCTGTTGTTTCAGGGATGTTTTTGGAATACCCCCTCCCCAATCATTAAATTATAGTTTATAATTCTATGGAGATGAGAGGCAGGGGTGGGGAGATAATATTTATATATTTCTTAAGTGATATTTAAAGTTTGTATAAAATTTCATAACGCATCAATTGAATAAACAGATTAATGCTGAGGGGAAAATGATTTATACTACCTTCATGAAAATTTTGCAGCGTGGTTGTGTCATATTGTATAAATCATTTTCTTCCCTACTGATTCTAGTTGCGCTATTGACTATCAGTATGTTTCCTGTAATCTCAGTCATTGAATGCCTTCAAAATATTTACGAGAAAAATCTTTTACTCACACAGAATTAGTGGACAAACTTCTTTAAATCTCCTTCTTTGTGATTCCTCTGTACGCTCTTTCTCCTGGAGGTCCCTCTCCCATTTCATCTAGCCAGAAAGATTAGTTTACTTCAGGGTTTCAGCCTCTGTGTTCTTGTTCAGCTGTGGGTAACTGGGCTGCCATTGAGAGGCAGAGAGTAAGAAAAAATAATAAAATAAAAAGGAGAGTTCCTTGAAACACCTTATTCGTTCTTCAGGGCATTCTTCCTCTGGCCAGAGGACTTGATCTCTCCAGTTTTTAGGTACTCACACTGATGTTTTTCTTGGGGGAGTGCAGTTTAGCAAAGAGACTAATCTCTTGTCAAAACTGAAAATTAAAGGAGGGAAAATAACCAGGAAATTCACCGCTGATTTTTGTCTTTCAAGTTTTGACTTTCCTTGCCAAGCTTATTTGCTTGTTTTTCATTTCGTTGCTTATTTTTCATGTCGTTGGTTAGTTTCTTTTTATAATTCTGTCCAGAGTTTACAGCTGTAAACCATGGAGGAGATGGGCTCTTGTGGGCTTACTCCATCTTGATTGGCACTGGAAGTAAACAAAATGAAGAACCTATGGAAGATCCAAATGGTTATCTCTGGTCAGAGCTATACATTTGTATCGCAAGAGCGCTCATTGGCTTCAATTCGAGCTTTATATATAAGTAATAATTAAATCCATAGAAGTAACTGGGAGTACCCAGTTGGTGAGTGTAGAGTGAAGAAAGAAAAGAGCAGAATCTTGGCACCAGCAACATTTAGGTGACATCTGAAGAAAGAGTGGTATGCAGTATAGACTGAGGGGGATGAGAAATACATGTGTAGTACCAGAAAATTAGAGTACGGATTCTCAAAACCTACAATGTTGACCCACAGATGCTTTTAAAAATGAGAGTTTGAAAAGAAAGAAATTGTTAAAAATTTGAAATTCTACCCAGAGATCAAGAGGGTTAATATCTGAAAAGCATCCACTTGACTTAAGGACATAGATACCATTGGCGACCTTGGCAAGAACAGTTTACATGATGTCATTAGGGCCAAACGGCAGTGATTGACTGGTGAATGGGAGGTGAAGTAGATACTTGAAGCTTAGAAATGAAGAAAGGAATGTGGCTGTTAAAGGGAAAAGGTAGGGCAGAAGCTAGCGGAAGAAGTTATTTTAGATTTGAGAGATTTCTTTTTAGGTTTTATTTTAGTTGATTTTTTGTTGTTGTTCCTAAACTGGAAGTGGCCTTAGTACTTTAAAATGCTAATAGGAAGGAACCAGTAAAAAAGGAAAGGCTAAAAGCAGAGAAAGGAATAAAATCTCTGAAATGATGTTAAGGAAAGAGATCCTAAGCACAGGTGAAGCCACTCTTTAAGAATGAAGAAAATAAAACTTCAGAATAATGAAAACTCTTCAGAAGACTCTCAGGAATTACTGGCATATGAACTCTTATTCCTGAGTCTGTTTCTGAGGAAACCAAACTAGACAACTATAAAAGTAACTATCGAGCCCTAATTTCATATTCTTCACAGTTCCAAACCCATTCATCCAAGTGCCTATTTTATATCTCTACTTTTTAAAAATAAGGATCTAAAACTTAGTATGTTCAAAACAGAGCTCTTGATTTTTTCCACTAATGCTGTTCTTTCAGTTTTCTTCCTTTTAGTAAATGAAAACATCTCCCTTTTCAAGACAAATAATCATCTTTCATTTCCCCTTCCCCTTAACCCACATCCAAACTATCGGTAAGTAGCATTGACTCTGAGAGTTCCAGAATCGGTTAAAACTCTGTCCACGTACTTTCACCCGTACTGCTATGCTCTCGCTGAGCCCCTATTAATCTTCTCCCCGTAGTAGTAACACAGTCATCACTTGATGTCTCTAATTTGTGCATCCCTGCAATCTAATTAATCAAATAATAGCCAGAGATATCTTTGTAAATGCACCCCCGAAGTCATGCCCTTTGTTATTTAGGAAACCTTTAGTGGTTTCTTGTTGAACTTAGAGAGAAATTCCTACTTACTACCATGCCTACGTGCAGAAGGATATGAAATAACTATTTAACATCTGGTGTGGAATGAGCATTCACCAGTCAGACCATAACACTGGTCACAATGTGTAATGCTGAAGCAGTCCTTGATGGTGGAATATCAGCCTTCCTGCAAGATGCTACCAGCCCACTCTCCCCCTCACTCATTCTTCCCCATCATGCTGTCCTTCCAGATATCCCCTTTGTCTAGAGCCATCCCATGGCTGGCTCTCCCATCCCCTTCAGGCACTGTCTCAAATTACATTCTCTGTGAGGTCTTCTCTTACTAACTAATATCACATCCTTACCTCGCCTGGCTTAGTCACTGTCATGCCTGTTTGTTCCACTTTCTTCATGGGACTGCAAACTCTATGAGTTTTTTTTATACATTTACTTGCTCCTTCTGATCCCCTCAACTAGAATTTAAGTTTATCAAGAACAAAAATCTTGACTTGTATTCCCACCACTGTATCCCTAGAACCAAGGACAGTGCCTGGCATATGACAGACATCACTGCTCACTCATTAAATGATTGACTATATGAATAAATAAATGTAAGGATAAATGCATAGAAGAAAGTGGTTAAAAAACTATAAAATAACAAATTATCAACTTTATTATCTATCACTTCTGTTTCTAGTCTACCCATACCCATGTGTCATCCCTATACATACCCTATACATCCAAAGTCCTATTCAGATGCTCATCAGCAACTAAATCTCAATACGAATTCATCCCTTGACCTCAAAGTATTCCTCTTTATTCCTAGTCATGGTACATGAGTCATATGCACCCTATCTCAATTTGCAATATAATTTAAAAGGTGGGCTTTGAACTTGAATTGAATGGGGCCAAAATTCATTTCTTCCACTTGTTATGTATGGGCAAGTTTCTTAACCTTACTGTGACTCAGTATTCTCCTCTCTAAAATGATGATAATGAAAATGCCTGTTTTATAAATTTGTGATTTATGCAACACATATATGCCTGGTGGCGAGTAAGCACTCTAAATCATAGCATTAGTATTTGCCAAGCAAGAAATATGGAAATAATCTTAGACCTCTCGAGCTCTCTTACTTTCCCTATCTGGTTGGAACATAGAAATTTAGCCATCTTATGTTTCCCCATTTTAACTTCTCTAATAAACTTTAATTACCATTCATGTCTGCACCATGTCTTGACTGTTTACTGCAAGAGGAGCTTAACTATTCCCCTTTGTTCTAAGCTTGCTTGTCAGTTCTTTTTATTATAATGATTTTCATAAAATAAAAACTGATATATGATTTTCCTGCCTATAATCTCTCAATAAATGGGTATTCCTTTTGAGATAAAACCTAAACCTAGAATGATAAGGAAAGCCTGTCATTTCTCATCACTTCAACCTGGAAGGTTCGCAGTCGCCCCAGGGTGCCAGCTTCTCTCCTACCTCTGGACTGGCTGCTGCTCACTGCTTGAAGGGTAGTCTTCTCCCGACATTCAACATTCTCCTCCTTCCTTTCCTCTCAACCTCTTCTTTACAGAACAAGTGCCTAATCAGCCTTTAAAATTGATGCAAGTTCTCATCACCTCTTTATTTACTGACCTAATGAACAAAGATCTATGAAGGGCCTATTACAGCTGGAGTATTGGTGGTTATTGTTGCCTGAATATTGACAGTATCCTCTGAGCCAGATACTTCTTGTAGTTCTTTTAGGTCTTCCAGACAAAGGTATAACTGAGGTAAGATTTAGGATCTCAGGCTTTCGGTGGCTAGGAAAATTTCATTTTTACAAGTGATTTTTCCTTTTCCAAATAATTTTAATTTAATTGAACTTCCTTATAGTTCCTCCTCTCAACACTTAGAACTAGTATTTAAAGGGCTTCTTTGCTAATTTCCAAAATATCATTTTCAAGTTCTTATGTGTCTATGAATTTACATGAATATTAAACTTGGAATAAAAAATGAGAGGTTATATAATAGTTTATTCACTGTTATTCAGCTGTCAATTTAATAAATAAGAAAATTACTATAATTTAATTACAGCTACCACATTATTTTGTTATTATTGTTAAGTAGGAAGCAGGTAATGATAATAATTTAAATATGGTTAGTCACATCCATGAGTAATTGCGTAAATCTGTACGACATTCCTGAAAAATAGAGCTAATGAAAATAAGTTTGCTATTATGACAGCTCTCTGTCATATTCAGTTCAATTTCAATTTATATTTTAACAGGTTAAGGCTTATATTCCAAGCTATACGCATCACAAGACCAGTGAAATAAGAACTCTTTGGTGATAAAAAAAAAAAATGCACTTCTCTGAGCAAAGTCTCATCAAAGAACCAAAATGAGACCTGTTAAGGACCATAGTCTGATGCAGAGCTTGTAAAGTAGCAAATGTTGCCAGCTTGGTAACAATGAGGCAATTCAAAGTTGCAGACTAGAAACATTTACTCTTTGGTGAAGTGTCCTCCAAAAAAGGTTAATTACATAGACCTTGAAAGAAGAATCAGTTTCCAATTCATCATGAAGATAGATGGGATTTGAGGTTATGGCACCATAGTTCTGCTGTCTTAATTCTATTGTCCACATTACCAAGGAACCTCCATACAGTCTTTAAAAATGGCCCAATATTTGATAACAACATCTATATATTTCAAAAATAATGTTTTTCTTGACAAGGTTCTCTTCAGCCAGGCCTTGAAACAGTTGTTGTAAGAATTCACAAATTGCACATCATCCAAAGTGGAGGATTCTAGATTATTTCCTTGGAGCCTGAGGAGCTTCACAAGAGCAGCTGCAGGGCTGCTCTGGCTGGGGAAGTGCTGGGGCAGATCTGAGTGGATGCGACCCCAGCTAAGCTAACGCTTCCACCCGAGTGGCACTTTTCTTACCCGATTGTAGCAGGGATGTCTACATAAGCTTTGGAAAATGGATTTCAGGAAATATTAAGGGTAGGATAGGCGTTGAGGTATTTCAAAATCCTTGTATTTCAACTTCTTATAAATTGTGCATTTGTTAGTTTTATAAACTTATTTTTAAAAGTTAAAATGGATTCTGAGGCTACTGGATGTTTTAAATTCACTATTTTCAAGTAAGCTTATTCACCGTTTAAATACTTTAAAAGCTGCTTAACACACCATCAGTTTAAAGGTGTTTATTGAAATATAAGCATTTCCTATTTCATTATAAATATACCTAAAGTACAAGCATTTTCTATTTAATTATAAACAGTATACTTGATTTCCATGAACATTTCATAATTACAGTTACAAATTAATTACAACTTAAAATAGTGTAAGTGTGTTTAGGGTGATTTGGGAACAGTTGTAACTATTTCATAAGCCACCCGTATAATAGAAAGCTGCACACAGACACCAATGCTCTGTAAATAACAAACATTTCATGATATGATGAGTAACACTTAAAGTAATTGAGTGGTTTATGGCATGTTATAATTGCTCTTTGTTGTAACCACTACATTAATAACTTGTAAGTTCTCTATGCAATGCTGTATTTTCTCTCCTATATATCTTATAGTTATTCTTAAATACATAACTCTTTTTGTTAACTGAGAATGTAACACTATGAAGTACTACTACAGCATTTTGGAGAATAATTGTCTTGAATTTTG